ATAAGCAGCCTTGTGATTACGTTGCCCCCCTCCCCGAATAATCCAGGATAATCTCCTGATCTGCTGATTAGCAATTTTAATTCCCCTTTGCTAGGTAAAAGAATATTTACAGCAAGCATGTCAAACTCAAAGTATAGTGGGGATACCTTAGATCAGTGATGGCGAAACTATGACATGAGTGTCAGAGGTGACACGTGAACTCATTTTTTTGGTTGATTTTTCTTTGTTAAATGGCATTTAAATATATAAAATAAATATCAAAAATATGTCTTTGTTTTACTATGGTTGCAAATATCAAAAAATTTCTATATGCGACACGGCACCAGAGTTCAGTTAGGGTTTTTCAAAATGCTGACACGCCGAGCTCAAAAGGTTCGCCATCACCGCCTTAGATCAAGCATGTCAAACTCATGGCCCACAGGCCGTATGCAGCCCATAACAAATATTGTTGTGGCCCAGCCATTATAACGGTATGTAAGAAACTTTTTAATAAAATTTCTGGTAACTTAATTTTTACAAAATCCTTTTATACATAATTATTAATAACGAACTACAAAGTTTGCTAATGACTGATTACTATAATTGTGTTGCGTTCATTTCCCTTATGCCCCTTATGCGCAGGCGCACCATTCTCTCCACTAATACTAGCAGCGAATATTTTAGCAGTCGATTGCCATGTCATTAGTCTTGGACTGACTTATTGGTGTGCGCAACAGGAAATATTTCACTTTCACAGAACAAGAAAAACAGGTTTATTTGTGTTACGCTTATTAATTTGTGCAGTTATTCAGTGTCTGGTTAAGTTAATGTTCAAGAAAACATATTAATTTTTTATTAAAATGTTCTGCTATTTTATGTTAACAATAACTCATTTACTTCAGCCCTTTGTCTTCAGCATGTTTCTATCAAAATAAACTTACGTTTCTATGAAAATTAAAGCTTTTTTTTTTTTTTTTTTTGCAGCCCACATAAACTTAAACCTTGTTTAGTTAGCCCATGTTAGTCTTTGAGTTTGACCTGCTTGATGTACAGGTTCCAGGGATTAGAACATGGACATTTTGGGGTGTGGGGATATTATTCTGCCTACCACATCAACCAATCCATATTTCAAAAATTAGGAAAAAACTTTAAAGCATGTACTTTTTATAGGCAACTGTATTTTGATTTATAATATAATGGAGACCTTAAGAAAGTTTTATGTAAATCAAATTATAATTTACAGGCATTAGGTCAATTCACTATTGAAAGGAACCCTGTGGTGAATTGTTTTATAAAGATATTAGAGGCCCGGTGCACAAAATTCATGCATGGGTATGGTCCCTAGGCCTGGCCAGCGATTGAAGCACGAGCGTCTGGCATGGAAGGGTAGGTTCCAGCTGACCTCTGGGCCCTGGGCAGCACCTGGGCTCCCGCTCGCACCCACCTTGGCCTGGCGCCACCTGCTCACCTGCTCCACCATCCTGCTGTGGTCCTGCTCTCATCGGGGCTTATCAGGGCTGGCAGTGCCTCCACTGCCACCCGCTGCCAGTGCTGCATGGCCAACACCAGCCACATTCCACGCCATCCCCTGGTGCTCAGCACACATCATAGCGAGCAATCAAACTCTCAGTCTCCCAGTCGAATGACCACCCAAGGGGACAATTTGCATATTAGGCTCTTACTATATAGGATTAATTCCCTAATGTTTTATTTTATGCTTGAGCATGGACAAAACTTTTAATTTTTTTTGAGAATGTTAAGGGGAAAGGAGTGGAGTCAAAAACTATAAAACTTCTGTAGCCAGTGTGGCTCAATGGTTGAGCATTGACCTATGAATCAGGAGGTCACAGGTTCGATTCCCAGTCAGGGTATATGCCTGGGCTTCAGGCTCAATCCCCAGTGTGGGGCATGCAGGAGGCAGCCGATCAATGATTCTCTCTCATGATTGATGTTCTATTTCTCCCTCTCCCTTCCTCTCTGAAATCAATAAAAATATATTTTAAAAACAAACAAACCATAAAGCTGTCCTGACCAGTTTGGCTCAGTTGGTTGGAGCATCGTCCCACACACCAAAAGGTTCAATCCCCAGGCAGGGTGTGTATGGGAGGCGGCCAATCAATATTTCTCTCTCTCTCTCTCTCTCTCTCTCTCTCTCTCTCTCTCTCTCTCTCTCCTTCCTTCCTTCCCTCCCTCTACCTTCCTCTCTCTTAGATATCAATAAAAGCATATTTTTTAAGAAGCATAGAACCATTTTTCTAATAACCTGCACAGAATTGTAACCTTCACATATGCATTCCTTTATCCAGGTAACTCTTACAGTAGATATAATAAAGACTTGCGACTCACCCACTCAGCCAGTGAGCACCAAGAGTGTGCTGGTTAAGAGCAAAGGCTCAGGCATCAGCCTGTGTAGGTACAAATCCCATCTCTGAAAAGTTGGAGTTGTGTGACCTTGGGTTAATCACTGAATTTATTTGTGCCTCACTTTCCACATCTATAAACTAATAATACAGTACCTCTAACACAGGGCTTCCATGAGGATTAATTGAGATCCAGAATATAAAACACTTAGTATGGTGCCTGGCACATACTCACTAAATGGATTCTCATAATCATGTGCAAAGGCCTGTGATTAGGTGCAGGAGACAAATAAGAAGCATCCTACAACTTATTATTCATTATTTTTAGAGCTTGAAAATGAAAGTGAGAACAGGACTTGACCACTAAATGGAAAGCAGCAAGTGAGATATTAAATCAAGATAAAATTTGAGTCTTTCCTTGGTAGATACCCATGATTTCTGCTTGCAGGCAATGTGCAAGACAGAATGACCTTCAAAACTTAATGGAAGTGTGAATCATCTTCAGCAAACCACATGATCTTATACTGAATATCTGATAGAACGGTTCTATTGGGGTATCAGAGAATAATTTATTTCCCTGCTCAGAATCTCCAAGGAGCTTGTTAGTTTTACCTTTGGATTTTAATGGTTCTTCAGTCTACCAAACAAAGCCAACCTCATGTCTGAGACATTCAAGGCCCTGCACAATGTAATCCCTTTCTCTGTTTCTACCTTGTGTGACAAAGCCCTTACACAGACCCACTATTTTGACCAAACTAGAAAACTCTCTAGTTGTGCTTTAGCTGGTTTGGCTCAGTGGACAGACTGTCAGCCTAGGGACTGAAGGGTCCTGAGTTTGAGTTTGATTCTGGTCAAGGGCTCATGTGAGGGTTGCAGGAGGCAGTCGATCAATGATTCTCTCTAATCATTGATGTTTCTAACTCTCTCTGCCTCTCCCTTCCTCTCTGATATCAATAAAAATATATTTTACACAAAACGAAAAACTCTCTAGTTCTGACAGTACTAATGTACTGCTTTATGTAGTAGTTAATTTGATATGTTTTGTATCTAGCTAGCCTGGAAGTTATCGGAGGCAAGAAACCCCCATCTTACATAACCATGTATTTTCCCTCTACACATTACATTTATTTCCACATAGAAATCTTTGCCAGAAGGTAGGGGGTTTGGGGGGCTGGGTGAAAAAGGTAAAAGTACAAATTGGTAGGTACAAAATAGTTACAGGGATATAAAGTACAGCACAGGAAATCTATTCAATAACATTGTAGTAACTATGTATGGTGCCAGGTGGGTACTGGAAATATTAGGGGAAATACTTTGTAATGTATATGATAGGCTAACCCAGGGGTGGGCAAACTTTTTGACTCGAGGGCCACAATGGGTTCTTAAACTGGACCGGAGGGCCGGAACAAAAGCATGGATGGAGTGTTTGTGTGAACTAATATAAATTCAAAGTAAACATCATTACATAAAAGGGTACGGTCTTTTTTTTTTTTTTTAGTTTTATTCATTTCAAAAGGGCCGGATGCGGCCCGCGGGCCGTAGTTTGCCTACGGCTGGGCTAACCACTATGCTGCACACCTGAAACTAATAGGAAATAATATAAAATGTAAACTGTACCTGAGAAATAAAAATCCTATATAATAAAAGCCTAATATGCAAATTGTCCCCTCGAATGGTCGTTCGTTCAACCGGGAATTCAATCAGGAGACTGGGAGTTCGACCGCTCGCTATGACATGTGCTGACCACCAGGGGATGGCGCAAAACATGGCATGTGTTGGCTACTCACTGTGACCTCTCGCCGGCTACTTGGGGGCGGGGGTGACAGGGACGGAGGTGCGTTGAGAATGTGGTGTGTTCACCCAGCTCACTCTCACTCCCACTGCTACCCTCCCCTGGGATGCCGGGGCTCTCACGTGGGGGATGCCCCTGCGCTCAGGTGCCCGGCACCCACGAGGAGCCCGCCCCACACCCATGCTGCCTCTTCTGGATGAGCCTGGCCGCAGCCACTGGGACTGCAGGGCCCGGTCGGGCTCCCTATGGGTTCATGCAGGAGCCGGTCTGCGAGGCCAGCCAGGAGAGAGCGTGCTGCCCACTGGTTTCTGTGTGGCGCTGCTAGAGGCCCACGCTGTGCCCCCAACCACGGCGTCCAGCCACGCTCACTGCATCTCCGCATGGGGACTCGGGTGCCTTGATTCAGACAGAGGGGGCATGCGGGGGCCAAGGGGCTGAGGTGCTTTCCAGGGTCCAGAGGTCAGCTGGGACCTGCCCTTCCATGCCAGACACTCATGCTTCAATCGCCGGCCAAGCCTAGGGACTGCACCCATGCACAAATGTCATGCACTGGGCCTCTGATAAGTAAATAAAAGAAACAGAAACTTTGATGCCCTTTTGTTTCAAAGCTACTTTCTTTATTCCTCTGAAAGTCTCCTTTTTCCACTTCTTGATTCAGAAGATAATAACTACTTTTCTTTTAAAGTTACACTTCTTAATTCATCCTGAGACTTCAGATTTTTAAAATTGCATACATCTGTGAGAATCTTCTCATTAAAATTTTTTTTGTTAGGGTTCATTGTAAAAAATTTTTTAAAGAAATATTCTTTCTAGACAGGCTACTAATGAGAATATCCTTAAAATAATGAAATACTATAAGTACTTCTTACCTTCATAGTAACTGTGATGGTGCTATTTACATTTGCTTTGTACAACCAGCCTTGTTTTATCACACCACCCTTCTGAGAACACAAAGAAGATGAATCCTGAAAAGAGCAAAAACCATCAGTGAAACAACAGCCAGCCATCTAATCAAATAGTATTTGGGGGGCACGAACTAGGCCCTGCTCCAGTTTCTAATCGAAGCCTAATGGTCCCCTCCCTCCAAGAAGATGCCTGATTAAACTTAAAATGAAAGACTCTGTGCTGTGCACACAGTAGGCACTCAGTATTTACTTAATTGTATGAGCCGTCATCTGGGAAAATCTTCTGCATTATGTCAACAAGCAAAATGCACCTCAAAATGTCACAGACATCCGGGCCATCTGTCCCCTGAGGGATATATCAGGCAGGAGAGTCCAGATGAATCATCACATCACATACCCAGTGCAGGAAAAGCAACTCCACAAGCATGTCCCACAGGTGGTAAAACATTCTATATAATCAAAGCCTAATATGCTAAGTGTCCGACCATTCGTATAACGTGCACTGACCAGCAGGGGGCAGACGCTCCAACCGGTAGGTTAGCTTGCTGCTGGGGTCCAGCCGATCAGGACTGGGTGAGGGCCCTGGAGCCCTCTTGCGGCCCCTCCCTGGCCCCGATCATGCACTGGTGAGGTCCCTCGGCCTGGCCTGCACCCTCTCACAATCCAGGACCCCTCGGGGGATGTCAGAGAGCCAGTTTCGGCCCAATAACCACAAGTCAGGCCAAGGGACCCCACCAGTGCACAAATCTGTACATTAGGCCTCTAGTGTTTATATAAAATCACAGCCCAGTTCACTTGATTTTTCCCCCCAATTCCATTTGTAAATGCAACTTTTTTTAAAATATCTAATTAGTTTGAAAGTTGGCCACAGGTCATTCAAATATAATTCTTCCCCTCATTTTTTCTTAAGGAAATCCTCAATAGAAGGGACCTTGAAGAAACCAGTGCAGTGGCCCCAATCTTTACCTCATCTTTCTCACAGTCCTCATCAATTTCAAATACATGATTGGGAATCTTTTCTGGTCTCATGGATTTGCTGAAAATGCAAGAGAATTGTCTTAAATGCTGAACAGAATAAAAAACATAACATAATAAGAAAGACTTCTTTCTTTCACAAGAAAATGCCAAGACATGAAGAGGAGAAATTTTTTTCTCCTTCCCAAACTCAGATTCTCTCCTCTGACTAAACTTATATTACCTTATATTACCTTTTAATTGTATGAGCCGTCATCTGGGAAAATCTTCTGCATTATGTCAACAAGCAAAATGCACCTCAAAATGTCACAGACAGCCGGGCTATCTGTCCCCTAACCCAGTCCTTTTATATAAGGACTCCCACATGTGCAGCCAGCAGCAAAGATATAACTAAGCCCAGATACTTTATCAGGGAAGGACAGAAATTGTCAAAGAATGTGTACCAGAGCTGTTATTGGTGGCAAAACCTTATCTTTCCCCAGGTCAAAAAGCAACATAGTGTCCTGGCCACTCTGGCCCAGTTGGTTGAGCGTCATCCCATGCACAGAAAGGAATTCAGTTTGATTCCCAGGTTGCAGGTTCCATCACTGGTTGGGGTACATGCGGGAGGCAACCAGTTGATATCTCTCTCTCTCTCTCTCTCTCTCTCTCTCAATATTAATTAAAATATATTTTTTTAAAAAGCAACAGTGTAATTACAACTCTATCATCTGTTTGGTGTATGACCTCCAACAGGTCACCTTAGGACTCAGTTTTCTCCTCTGAGAAAGTGCTTTAAAAACTATAAAAGGATATACAAAGTCTTATTTCTCCAAAACTTTATCTGTATGCTACCCTGTGAGGTTGGCAGTATTATGGATGAGAAAAGGGGGAAAAAATGAGGGCTCAAACGGACTGAGTGACTTGCCCAAGGTCATCCAGCAAGTATATGGTAGAAATAAAATTTGAACATTGACTGTCTGACTCCTGAGCCACTGTACGCATGGTGGTCCTTCAACTCAACTGAAAGAGATACACGTTGTCAAGCGATTATCCGGGGTCATCAAATTGAGCCATATATTTTCTAGCCTTTTCATTGACACCACTGGAAAATACTCAGTATGTTATCCAGAATCAAATAAAGATCATTTTATGGTCAATATAGACAGACCAAAGCCAAAAAGTGAACTCATACATTTTGGAAAGAATTTCAGTGAGCAAAGTGAAGACATATTCAGTTACCCAAAATATTGCATTTACAAAACATGCTGGTTGCTTGAGGTTTTGCTTTACCATAAATTATAACTAAGAAGTTTCACAAGTGGCTAAAAAAAAGATAAAATGCTTAGTAATTCTCCTTCTGAAGGCTTCACTTGAATTCTGTACTTACCATGGCAACATTCGAAAGTCTCCAGAGAAGTCTTCATACTTGTAGTTTACCACATGCCAATCTGTGCTGTAGGTTTTAATACACTGAAAGAAAAGAGAAATCTTTAATTTGATATGTACAAAAAGTATACATATAGCCATTTTTTAAAAAATCAGGTAATGAGCTATAAAACTTAAAAATCACTTGGGAAATTTTGTTACTTGGATCTCCCTTTGGGGATTGACTGTGTTTCTCTAAACCAGTGATGGCGAACCTATGACATGCGTGTCAGAGGTGATAAGCGAACTCATTTTTTTGGTTGATTTTTCTTTGTTAAATGGCATTTAAATATATAAAATAAATATTAAAAATATAAGTCTTTGTTTTACTATGGTTGCAAATATCAAAAAATTTCTATATGTGACACGGCACCAAAGTTAAGTTAGGGTTTTTCAAAATGCTGACACGCCGAGCTCAAAAGGTTTGCCATCACTGCTCTAAACCAACTGGCAGCAATAAATGCCAATTCTTATGCTCTCTTCAACACTGAGTCCAAGTGCAGACAATATTCAAATCCAAAAGAAAAAGACTAAGAACACATGCTACTTGTGAAAGTATTTAAGCTGTAATCTCTGTATCACATCATATAGACTTATGTAGGTTAGTTAAAGTAACAGCAATTTTATTTTCCATTTATAATAAAAGGAAGAATATTTGAAATATACGATGAATGTTCCTCTGTAACCTTTGAGCCTCTTACCTCCTTGACAAACAGACTCTGGGCCCTTTTCTCAGCATCTTCTGGGACAGTGGATTGCACTGTTCTGCGCTGACGACTTATCACCGAGATCTAGAAGACAAGGATCATTCTTGCTGTAAAAACTGGCTTGGCAAATGCAGGGTTTTATTTCTTTTTTTTTTTTTTTAAAGTGCTTGTGAACTCACGGATATGTCTTCCATTGGAAACATAAGCAGGTCTCTGAGGGGGTCACTGTAAATCTGGGTTTTTCTTTGCAAGATAACATTCTCATAGTCCAAGGGCTCAACAACTTTGGTCTTCTCCTTAATAAGAAATAAAGGGGAAAATTAATATGGTCAAACTCATAAGGTAAATTTCTCTCCAGGTGCTAAAGATACATTATTTCACAAGAGAAGAGATTACAGATGATGATAAGCCCTTAAAGGAGACACTTTTCAAGAGATATATCCTCCATAACTAGACACACACAACAAATACATACACATAGACCTCTCTGCTACAGACAAGAGTTCTGGTGAGATGACACTGTACTCTGCTTATCCATGTGCCTTCCAAAATTTATTGAATTTAAAGTAACACAGCCCAGCCAGCATGGCTCAGTGGTTGAGCATCAACCTATGAACCAGGAGGTCACAGTTCGATTCTCGGTCAGGGCACATGCCCAGGTTGCAGGCTCAATCCCCAGTGTGGGGTGTGCAGGAGGCAGCCAATCAATGAGTCTCTCTCATTATTGATGTTTCCATATCTCTCTCCCTTTTCCTTCCTCTCTGAAGTCAATATATTTTAAAAAGTAACACAAAAAGTTGATATTTATTGAATATGCACTATTCACTGAGTAACTGGGGAAGAAAGTATCAATATTCATGTGTCTACTCTGTACCAGGCACACTGTCCAAAGGATGTATCAATTTCTGGCATAGTTGGGGCAAGCACAGGTACAAGAGATGCTTGATCCAATGGTCATGGCATAAAAGGGTGAGGTTCCAAGTAGCAAAGTCAGTGGATCCCTGTTGGACTTCCAGGCGACCTGGGCACTGATAGTAGGGCCCCATCCTGAGGCTAAAGTTACAAGGAGCAGGGTCAGTGACTCTGAGTAATCTAGGATATGATTTATTAATAACAGTGCTAAAAGCATTTACTGAGCCTTTCTATATACAAGGCATCACGCCAAGGCTTTCTCTACATTTTCTCATGTAATACTCAAAACAATGCTATAAAATAGGTTTAATCTTTATCCTCATGTTATAGGTGAGGAAGTCCTGAACTGAATTCAGGTTAAGTAACTTGCCCACCTTCAGAGCTGGAATTCAAACCTGGGTCTATGACAGTGGTCGGCAAACTCATTATTCAACAGAGCCAAATATCAACAGTACAACAATTGAAATTTCTTTTGAGAGCCAAATTTGTTAAAGTTAAACTATATAAGTAGGTACATTGTTATTAACTTAATTAGGGTACGCCTGCGCCGCGTCTTCCGTCGCCCGACTGACCGACACCCCCCATTTCTTCTAACACCACTTCTTCAAAATAGACTCGCCCAGGCCAAAAACCGACTTCTGCGCATGGGCCACGAAGTTTCAATCGCACTGTATGTGCGCGCCTGTGCGAGGTATTTTATGGAAGAGCCACGCTCAAGGGGCCAAAGAACCGCATGTGGCTCCCGAGCCGCAGTTTGCCGACCACTGGTCTATGACTACAAAGGTGCTGTTCTCTCTACCTCAGGCAGCCTTTCCTCCCCTCAGAAATAACAAACCTACTAATGTTCAAGGTATTGATCTTGGAATAGAGTCCCATCACCTACCTTCCTACCATCTTTTCCTTCACTAAACTTCTATAATCTGACATACCATCTATTGATCTCTCTGCCTATCTAAGAACAGGGATTCTCCTTTATAGTTCACTGCCAAAATCCCAGAGCCTAGAACATTCAGTAATTTTTGAATGAACTTTGACATATTCAGATTCAACCAGAGCCTTGTCTCAATACACTATGCTAAACCAACAGGGGTATATTAGTGATTTCTAATAATATTTTACTTAAAGTATTTTTCTTAAAAATTTTATAATAAATTATTGGGATGATCACTTAGTAAGTTATAAAATGTCTAATCATTGGGGTGTATGCCTGAAATGAATACAACACTGCATGTCAACTGCAAAAATTAAAAATGATTTTAAAAATTTATAATAAAAACTATATAAAGAAAACTTGAATTTAAGATATATTAAAACATCATAACAGATGAATTTAAGATTATATTAAAACTTAACATCATGATGGATTATGGGGTTATATTTATATTTGTGTACAAAGTATCTAAGGCAGTTTCCAGTACAAAGTATCAACACAATCCTTTGATAACAGTTTTTAATTGGTTCACAACAGGTCACAGCAATAGCACAGTTACATATCTGAAAGGCATCTCAGAGCTTCCTCTATAAGATTACTTAGAAAGATAAGTATAAACCACTCTAACCAATAAGAATCAGTGTTCAACAAGTCTAAAAGATTCTAACAATAACAGTACAGAGGTTCTTCCACAAATTAAAAAAAGAACTACCATATAATCCAGCAATCCCACTTCTGGGCATATATCCAAAGGAAATAAAATCACTATCTCAAAGAGATATCTACACTCTCATGTTTATTACAATATTGTTCACAATAGCCAAGACATGGAAACAACTCAAGTGTCCCTACAGATGAATGGATAAGAAAATGTGACAAACACACACAATGGAATATTGTTCAATCACAAGAAAAAAGAAAATCCTGCCATTTGTGACAACACTGATAAATCTGGAAGGCATTGTGTTAAGTGAAATAAGCCACACAGAGAAAGACAAATACTGAATGGTAACACTTAATGTGGAATCTTAACAAAGTAAGTAGAGCCCAGTCGGTGTGGCTCAATGGTTGAGCATCCACCTATGAACCAAGAAGTCACTGGTTCGATTCCTGGTCGGGGCACATGCCTGGGTTGTGGACTCAAACCCCAGTGTGGGTCATGCAGGAGGTATCAATGGTTTTCTCTCATCATTGATGTTTCTCTCTCTCTCGCCCTCTCCCTTTCCTTTTGAAATCAATAAAAAATGTATATTTTTTAAAATAAGTAGAATGGTGGTTTCTAGGGGCAGAGAGTTAAAGGAAAATGGGGGAGACGTTGGTCAAAGACTTTCAATGTAAGATGAATAAGTTCTGAGGATCTAATGTACAGCATGGTGATTAGAGTTTACTTGTAAGTTATTGAGAGAGTAGATCTGAAAAAGTTTTCACCACACACACAAAAAATGTTAACTATGTGAAGTGACAGATGTGAATTAAGTTGACTGTGGTAATCATTTCCCAATGTATAGATATATTAAATCACCACATTGTATAATTTAAATATGTACATTTTATTTTTCAATTATACCTTAAAAAAGCTAGGGAAAAATTTCCTAACGAAGGTATACTTCACTTCAAGTCCTAAATTTGGACTTGTAGAACCGTGAGATCAAATCAAGCAGATCACCCCTATCATGTTTGTGAATACTTATGAAAATTGAGTCAAAGTAGAAAAAATCCTATTTGGGGACCTCAGAGATTTTCTAATAGGAAAGTTGGACTCCTTGTCCCTTATGTACCATGTTCGCATGGACCCCAAGAGAAAGGAAACTGTGGCTGCAGCTTCTAGCTCTAACCCTCAAAGTCTGTGATCAATTTCTCAGAGAAATTAAATTAATAAAGCCGCATCTAAGAAGGCAAGCTTTAGGCACTGAAAATAATTTCAAAGTCTTGCCTTTGTGCCAAGCATCCTCCTAATACAGATTGCAAAAAATGGTCCTCAAATTTCAATGTTTAACCTGTTGATTTGCATCTGTTAATCTCTCCATACAATAATTTCACAAGTACCTTCTCCAAGTAACTTTGGAAAAATAAAAAGAAAATGCTCCTTTCAGCACTGCAAGGTAGTTGACAAATTAATATGGAAAAGCATGTGTCAAAATGAATCCTTTTTTAAATATATTTTATTGATTTTTTATAGAGAGGAAGGGAGAGGGATAGAGAGTTAGAAACATCGATGAGAGAGAAACATCGATCAGCTGCCTCCTGCACACCCCCTACTGGGATGTGCCCTCAACCAAGGTGCATGCTCTTGACTGGAATCAAATCTGGGACCCTTCAGTCCGGCTCTATCCACTGAGCCAAACCGGTTAGGGCATGAATCACTTGTTTAAATGCACAGTATATGCCTTCTAAAAATGGAACTCATAGTTCCCCATGTGTTTTGAAAGCCATATATTCATTCACCTTATAGAAAACAAGGTTTCACTTTTTATTGAAAACTGATTAAACTAAGCATCCTGGGTCTTCACTCCTACTTCTTTTGTCAGGGCTAGCTCAATTACAGAAAAAGTTGGGGTGGCTATTCTGGGTCCACAAAGCTTCCCCTAATAAAAGATCTAGGCCTGTGAATCAGACTTCATCTTTTAAAGAAAAGAGGAGGGGCTGAGCCACAACACCCCCACCCCACCCCTGCCTCCAATCCCCATTCTGAACACTAACCCTCTCCCAGGCATTAAAAGTACAATTCAAACTAGAAGTGGAAGAGAGATGCTATAGTAGGAGTCAGTCCCAAAGAATAGCACCCTACATTTCCCTTCCAATTGGATTCTTGTAACTCTGTTGGCATCCAAGATGAGGCACACCTTTGACTTTTCGATTTATGATTTAATGGTGGCTCTGCCTTGCCGTCTACAACATATCCCTTATCTAACCTTATTTATTATTTTATTATTTGACTTATTATTAGGGTTACCCTAAATAAAGCTATCATTCTCTCAGGGTTTTCCTTCCTGCCTGTTTGTGCACAAATTGGCCCTAAAGGTGCTTTTTCACAACAAGGAAACTGTCTGATAATAAACAGTACTTTATAAACACTCAAATAATAGCAAGGTCCCACTGTGCACTACTATACAGTTTTGTAGCAGTTTTAAGTAAAAGGCAAACGTGTTTATACAATCTGGAGAGAAGCAAGCATATGTTTCATACTTCTCTCTTCCTAAATAGTGACAGGAAAACCGTCAACCGAAATTTGGAACCTACTCAGTTTCCACCACGAAAGGGAAAAAACAAAACAAAACAGTTTGCCTTTGAAAGTTCTCATTCACTGATGTCCTAATCTCTCTTGTAATAACTTGCTAGTGATATTACAGGTTGTTGTTGTTTAACTTGAAGATCACTTTGCAGTCTTAAAAAAAACACTTTCATATCATTGTCCAACCACTATGCTGTACACCTAAAACTAATATAAAATAA